TAGCCACCCAGTTACGTTGTGACGTTTGGTACACCCAAAGCATTCCTACGGTATCCGGGAGTTGCATAATCTCATGGTCTAAGGAAATGATACTTGACATCAGAAAAGCTTTAGCATACGAACTACGATCTTTGTGCTAGGCTTAGGATTGGGTCTTGTCCATCACATCATTCTCCTAATGATGTGATCCCGTTATCAATGACATCCAATGTCCATGGTCAGGAAACCGTAACCATCTATTGATCAACGAGCTAGTCAACTAGAGGCTTACTAGGGACATGGTGTTGTCTATGTACCCACACATGTATCTGAGTTTCCTTTCAATACAATTAAAGCATGGATAATAAATGATTATCATGAACAAGGAAATATAATAATAACTAATTTATTATTGCCTCTAGGGCATATTTCCAACAGTCTCCCACTTGCACTAGAGTCAATAATCTAGTTCACATCGCCATGTGATTAACACTGATAGGTTACATCGCCATGTGACCAACATCCAAAGAGTTTACTAGTGTCACTAAACTAGTTCACATCACCATGTGATTAAGACTCAATGAGTTCTGGGGTTTGATCATGTTTTGTTTATGAGAGAGGTTTTAGTCAACGGGTATGCAACATTCAGATCCGTATGTATTTTGCAATTCTCTATGCCATATTGTAAATGCTGCTTCCACGCTCCACTTTAAGCTTTTCTAGGGGTGCCATGAATTTGGCAGGGCCTTTTGAGAATTTTATCTAGGCTAGACGGACCATCTCTACTACCTTTAAGTGACTTTTTCCATTGACCGGGTCTGGAGCCCCTGAATCTGGCGTTAACCGTTGTATTGTCCGGGCTTTCTCCATTGTTCTGACATTTGTTTTTATTTCGTCGTGGCTTTCCATTGTCGTCCCTGACTTTGGATGTGCCCGGGTCGCTGGTGCTTCTTCGGGCTAACCAGCTATCCTCTCCTGCGCAAAAGCGAGTCATGAGTGTAGTTAAGGCTGCCATTGTCTTGGCTTTTCCTGGCCTAGGTGTCTGGCCAGCCATTCGTCCCGAACACTGTGTTTGAAAGCTGCTAAGGCTTGAACGTCTGAACAATCGACGATTTGGTTCTTCTTAGTGAGAAACCGGTTCCAAAGCTTACGGGCTAACTCTCCGGGTTGTTGGGTTATGTGGCTTAGATCGTCTGCATCCGGAGGTCGGACATAGGTTTCTTGGAAATTGGCCCTGAAAGCATCCTCAAGTTCCTCCCAGCTTCCAATGGAATTTTCGGGGAGGCTTTTCAGCCAGTGCCGAGCTGGTCCTTTTAGCTTGACGGTTAGGTATTTGATGGAGTGGAGATCGTCTCCGTGAGCCATATGGATGTGAAGAATAAAGTCTTCTATCCAGACCGCAGGGTCTGTCGTTCCGTCGTATGCCTCGATGTTCACGGGTTTAAAACCTTCTGGAAATTCATGATCCAACACCTCGTCAGAGAAGCACAAGGGGTGTGCAACACCCCTGTATCTGGGTGTGTCGCGGCGCGGGCCCGAAGTTTGCAGTGTTCGGTGTTGGTTCCGAACTGGTAAGTTACCTGCATATTTAATTTGATGGCCCTGATCCTGCATGGGAACGCGTTCCCTGGATCCATAAATGGACATGGTTCTGCCAGCTTTTTTGTCCAGGTCCTCACGTAAATCGAGCTTTTGATTCTGGGTTGCGACCTCCTTTCCTTTATGGGTAAGGGGTGCAGTTTTGTGTGCGGAGTTGTTGGCCGCTCTGCCTCGATTACGAGGTGGTCGGCCTGGCTGATCGGCCATATTGTTGTTCAAAGGTATGGGCGCGATAGCATTGTCATCGAGCAGTTTGCGTTTGGGGTAGCTGTTTGTTTGGCGATTACCGTCGTATTTTTCCTTAGTGTCGAGCACTTCGTTCCATTTATCATTGAGTGTATCCTGTGCGGCTTTAAGCCGTTGCTTCTGCTTTTTCAAGCTCCTCGTGGTGGCAATAAGTCTCTGGTGGAGGTGCTCTTGTTCCAATTGTTCTTCCGGACGATGAATGCATCATCACCCCGACTGCTCTCCTCTTCGGAGACAGGTCGGTAATTGGAGTCTTCAGCATTGCTGTGATCGGACAGGGGCCCCGGACTATGTTCACCATCACCTTGCTCGTCCAGCTCCATTGCTGGGTCCGCGGTTTATTATCTTCGGCGTCGTCCGGGGTGTTATTTCCTCTTGTGCCAGTATCGCTATTTTTACCCTGGCATGGTTTTGAGCGGTGCCGCTGACGTCGATGCTTTGGCTGCTTTCCAGGAGTTTTATCCTCGACTGGGTTCTTTTTGTCACCGCTGTTGTCTTCTTTGGGTGTATCCACCATGTATATGTCGTGTGAGGAGGTGGCTGTCCAGCGCCCTATGGGCGGTGGTTCCTGTTCTTCTCCGACATCGTCGCCCATACCGTCGATGTCTTCGGAGTCGAAATCAAGCATGTCGGTCAAATCATCGACAATGGCTATCAAGTGGGTGGTGGGTGGGTAACGAAGTTCTTCATCGTCCGCTTCCCATTGAAGCCGGACATAGTTCGGCCAAGAATCTCCTGACAAGGAGAGGGACTTTAATGAGTTTAACAAATCGCCTAAAGGTGAGTGTTGGAAGATGTCCGTGGAGCTAAACTCTAAGATCGGCGCCCAGTCGGATTCGATGGGCGCGGGTACACGCGGTTCGGAGCCTATGGACGAAGACGGGTCCGAGGTTCCGATGACACAGGCCTCGTTGGAGGTCAGATCTGTGTTTGGCTCTAGCGCCGTTGAGTTCGCGGCTTCCGTGGTGGGGTTGAGCCTCCTGTCCTCGGATGGCGCGCTCTGCTCTGGATCTAGGGCTAGTGCGGTTACAGGTGCAATCTCCCGCACACCATCCTAGGTCATGTTCATCGTGGCGGCGGGGCGCGACTGTCATAGGCTCGAATCCGTCGAAGATCAAGTCTCCGTTTCGGTGGTGTAGTTCAAATTTCCAAACCTGACCTAACGGCCAGGGTCATAGCTGTCATAGGCTCGAATCCGTCAAAGATCAAGTCTCTGCGGATATCGGCAGTGTAGTTCAAGTTTCCAAACCTGACCTGACGGCCAGGGGCATAGCTGTCGATCTGCTCCAGATGGCCAAGCGAGTTGGCTCGTAGTGTGAAGTCGTCGAATACGAAGATCTATCCGGGGAGAAAAACTTCACCCTGGACGGCATTGTTGTAGATGATTGAAGGAGCCATCAAGCCTTATGGTGAGGACACAGTGGAACTCTCAATGAAAGCACTAATGTCGGTGTCAAAACCGGCGGATCTCGGGTAGGGGGTTCTGAACTAAGCGTCTAAGGCTAATGGTAACAGGAGGCGGGGGACACGATGTTTACCCAGGTTCGGGCCCTCTCGTTGGAGGTAATACATTACTTCCTGCTTGATTGATCTTGATGATATGAGTATTACAAGAGTAGATCTACCACGAGATCGTAGAGGCTAAACCCTAGAAGCTAGCCTATGGTTATGATTGTTGTTGTCCTACGGACTTAACCCTCCGGTTTATATAGACACCGTAGGGGGTTAGGGTTACACAGAGTCGGTTACAGAGAAAGGAATCTTCATTCCGAATCGCCAAGCTTTCCTTCCACGCAAAAGAGAGTCCCATCCGGACACGGGACGAAGTCTTCTATCTTGTATCTTCATAGTCCAACAATCCGGCACTCGCATATAGTCCGGTTGTCCGAGGACCCCTTAATCCATGACTCCGTCAATGGCAGAGAAGGCAAATAGAAAAGGGAGAGGATGTGCAGAATTTGGAGAGATCAAGCCAAGCAATAATTGCTACGACACTAAATTTTGTTCGAGCATCAACACCGAAGGCTTCCCTGCCAAGAACTAACAGATGGTCGAGGCCACTAAACGGCCAACTGGTCTTGAATACAAATGCTTCTTTTTTGGAGGATCATACTGGTTCATGTGGGGCTGTCATTAGAGACCATTTGGACTTTTTCATTGCGGCATCCACAGCTAAACTTGATCATGTGGCGGATGTTGACTCAGCTCAGGCGGCGGCGCTGTTGGAGGGTCTAAAGCTAGCTCGTTCTATTGGTGCACATACTCTGGTTGGTCGAGCAGATAACATAATATTGATGGAGGCGATGGCAAACAATTCTGGACAAGCTATGGTGGCAGGACCCATACTTGAGGAATGTCGTTCTTTGTGTTTAGATTTCGGGAAGGTCTTTTTTTTCAGCATTTGCATTAGAGAATGCAATATGGTTGCTCATAGGCTAGCTCTCAAAGGGGAAGGGATGATCCACCAGCTTTGTGGTTGGATGCCCCCTAGTTTCCTTTCGGTGCTACTTGTGAATGATGTAAGCATTTGTTGAAATTAATAAAGCTAGACTGAAGGCTTTCCCTAAAAAAAGCGCGTTTCAATACTTACATCCCTTTTCCATCATCTTTGTGAATAAAGACGCGCTAAATGAGTGGTGAAAAGGGGGCGACAAGTACGTAGCAAGTGGTGCAACGCGGAATGTCAATCTCCTTTCTTAGGTTCCCCTAACAAATTTTATGAAAACTTTAAAAAAGCTAAACAAAGGTGAATGATCATCGATGGGGCGCCTCTTCCATTCCTGTCTTCTTCCTAGCGCTCCTACACGTCATGTTTGAGTTTTCTTTTTGTGTTGCATATGGTGTTTCAACCTATACCTTTCATGATAATGACTTGATTTCCATAAAAAAAGATAATGACTTGATCGTGCGGTTGTGGATGGCTGCTGACAATAAGAACGAAGATATATAAAAGAAACTGAAGCAAAACCCTCAAAAAAAAGATTACCAGTGCTATCTATTTTCTTTTTCTTCTCTTCTCTGTTTACACAGGGGTTGCTCTTTTATCGAGAGACTCCGGCCTCCATCGTCCCGAGAACGCTCGGCGGCTCCAGCGCTGAAACGATCTCCTCCGCCTTAGTCGGCGAAAAGGCCCGGATCGCGAGCCCGGGCATCGATTGGTGCTGCATCTGGGACTGATGAGACTCATGTCCAGGAAGCGCCACCGGCAGCGCCGTCGCCGGAGAACTCGACACGGTACGCATCCTACTCCCCTTCTTATCTCTTTCGATGATTGCAGAGATTTTTTCAGCGTTCAACCTCTGCAGTTTTTTTAATTGTAACCTCTGCAGTTTAACCTTGAATTGAGATCTATCTAATCTCGGATGCATGCCGAATTGTTTGTGCTACCACAGAGTATTGATGTACTCTTATTATGACTTATGTATGACAGATGGATTGATTGCTTCATTCTGTAAAAAGAAGTGCTCACTGCGCCAGCAAGATGATTATTCGCAAAGTGCTGCTGGACTAAGACCGGGTCTCGACCTTCCAGAGGTATACAGTTTCTGATAACTGACGAATTAAATTGTTGAGTAAAATACCATTGCGTGTTTTACCTGGATTATTATAGGGAAGTACTGGTGAGAATTTTACTAGCTGAGTAAACCTGAAGAAAAGTTGTGTTTGTACTACTTAATGCTGTGTTTGGCTCGTACCAGTCCACCACCACAATACTTTCTTCATTGGCATATGATTACTGCTACAACCAAACTTAGAATCATGCTAGGTATGCATATTCGGAGTATAATATTATGATGACAAGTTCTGACAATCCGAGCATCTGTCTGCGGAATGCTTTATTACACTGCCACAATGTTGAGACCTTGCGCTGTAGTACTAGTAGTAACCAAATTTTCTGGAAAAAAGAACCACATATGATGGAAGACTGTTCTCTTATCTGGCTTTGGCAGTCTATGTTTGTTGCACTAAATTTTCATATGTACAGTACTATTTATACCCAGTGAACAATTTCATGTTTTTGTTTGGCTGCCATACTGACTTGATTATCAGATATTATTGTATTACATTGTATGGTATAGCATCACCGATCACCGCATGGGTGCTGAATGTTGACTTGCACAAATGCAAATAAATAATTCTTGTTCACTGCCATATGCATAATCTAAGTAAGAATGCAATTGTACCGATACTAATTAATCAATAATAAGTAACATTGCAGGAAAATCTTCCTCAAAAAGCTCATTTTTGTAGCCCTTGATCCACTCACTAGAATTACATTCTAGTATTAATATTAATGTTTCTTTTATATTCTGATATCTTTCTCCCGTCTGTGCTTCTGCATTCAGGACATATATCGACATATACATGCCCTAATGCCATTACGAGACGCTGCTCGTGCGGCTTGTGTGTCGCACACATTTCTGCAATCATGGAGACGCTATCGCAACCTTACCTTAAGTAAGGAAACACTAGGTTTGAATGTAAATGGTATTGATAAAGATGAAATGGCAAGAGATCTCATCAGCAAAGTTGACGGTGATCTCATCAGCAAAGTTGACGGTATTCTTAAGAATCACTCGGGTGTTGGCATGAAGAAACTAGAGCTTAATCTCTACTGTTGCCGCAAGGTTGATCACTGTTATCTCAATAGTTGGCTTCGCATTGCTTTCAGAGCAGGGATTGAAGAGCTCACCATGTTGCTGTCTCTTACCAGTGAGGCAGAATACAACTTCCCATGCTCTCTTTTATTCAGTGGGAGTGAAAAATCAATTCGGCATCTTAAGCTCTCCAGCTGTGTCTTTCGTCCCACAGCTGAGCTTGATTGCTGGAGAAGGTTGAAAGAGTTGCTGCTGACTAATGTGCTGATTACGAGCGATGAGCTAGAGTGCCTTCTTTCCACTTCTTCCATGTTGGAGTTACTGTGGCTCTTTAGATGCAAAGAGATAGTTCGTGTGAAGATACCTTGTCAGCTCCAGCGGCTCAGCTTCCTGCGAGTGGGTGAATGCAGAAAGCTCCAGGAGATAGAGAGCAACGCTCCAAATATCTCGACTTTTGACATCAGTGGCAGTAACTTGGTAAGGATTTCATTTGGAGGCGCATTGCAAGTAAAGAACATGAGGATGTGTTCATATCAGCCCAACTTTATCTGGTACACTCGGACCAAGCTTATGCCATCTGTACCGAATGTTGAAACGCTTCGCATATCCTCGTATAATGAGGTATATTCTAAACGTTGTGATGATCATAGGGTAGCTATTTGCATAGAACAGCTTTCTTACGTGATATGATTAATCCGAGACATCTTTATGCAGATGATCAGTACACCAACACTACCTAGCAAATTCCTGCACCTCAAATACTTGCACATTACTCTAATTGGACACGAGGCTATTTCACCGGCCTATGATTACCTTTCTCTGGTTTCTTTTCTTGTAGCTTCTCCTTGCTTGGAGACTTTTATCTTTGTAGTAAGTTACTGATCATCTTGCAAGCATACCTAGTACCTATGGCAGAACAACTGAACGATCATCTTGACTTTCTATTGTAGGTACATCAGACTGACATGAAACATGATTCGATTGTTGGGGATATCTCACATTTGAGGCAGCTGCCAGAACACTGCCATGACAACCTAAAGAGCGTAACGATCGTCGGCTTCTGCTCTGCTAAGAGCATGTTCGAATTAACACTTCATATCATTAAGAACACATCATCGCTTCAGTGTCTCACATTGGACACCAGTTTCGGTTCTTATGGCTGTTCAGTCGATAAACCTGGCGGTTGCAACCCTATGGGGAGGGATATAATCAAGGAAGCCCATAGAGCACTTTTGGCTATCAGGACACACGTTGAGGGAATAATCCCCTCTAGAGTTGAGTTAAATGTTTCAGGGCCTTGCAGTCGGTGCCATGCTGTTGAACATTAGATGTCAACCATGGTATCATTTTCTCAGTGCCTAATCATGTAAAATTATAATGTATGTGATGAGTTGTTCTTTCAATTGTCAGAAGTGCCTAGTGTTGTGTTAAATTTCATGATCCGTGTGTTACCAGCACTGTACTTGAGGACAAACATGTGCCTCTTTGTATAATGAAATGCTGAATTACAGTAATGTGTTGATGGAAGTTCATGGTGAAGTGCTTTGCTAGTTTGTAGCCTGATCTCACTCGATACACGCTATGAAATTGCATAAATAATACTCCCTCCGATCCAACATAAGTATTGTGGTTTTAGTTCAAATTTGAACTAAAACTGCTACACTTCTTTTGAATCGGAGGGAGTATATCTTTTGAAAGGCATAAATAATGTAGGTTGCAAGCTGTCGCATTTTTCATTCCTCTGAATGTCCAAAGATAGAGGCGCCGATGAATTAATTGGCACTGATGATGTCTGCGGGGAGGCTAGAGGGACCACCGGCTCAGGATCAACTGGCAAGTTGTGCATAAAGTTAGTGAGTCGTCATAGTGCATCATTCCGGGGACATGGAGTTTCTGCTCCCGAGCTCAAAAGCATCATCATTGTTGAATGGTCTAGACACCTGCAAATTTCCATGAAAGAAGACATCCCTAATGCTCGGTTTGAATGGAGCTGTTATTGTAAAGGAGGAAATGACAGGAGATCTCATCAGCAAAGTTGACCATATTCTTAAACATCACTCGGGTGTTGGCATGAAGAAACTAATGCTTGAACTTAATGACTGTAACGGGGTCGATTCCTGTTATATTAATACTCCCTCCGTCCCAAAATTCTTGTCTTAGATTTGTCTAGATATGGATGTATCTAGTACTAAAATGTGACTTGATACATCTGTATTTAGACAAATCTAAGACAAGAATTTTGGGACGGAGGGAGTAGTTAGCTTCATATTGCTGTTACAGCAGGAATTGAAGAACTCGACATTTTGCTGCCTCATATTCCTAGGGAACCATACAATTTCCCGTGCTCACTTTTATTTAACAGGGGTGAAAACTCAATTAGGTATCTTCACATAGCCATCTGTGCCTTCCGTCCCTCGGTCGAGCTTGGTCTTTGGAGAAGCTTGACAATGTTATATCTGAGTAATGTACTGATTGCTGATGATGAGCTAGAGGGCCTTCTCTCCAGTTGTACTGCATTGGAGCTTTTGGGACTCCTGAATTTCCCCGAGATAGTTTGCCTCAAGATACCTTGTAGTGTGCTTACATTTCTGAGAGTGCATCTATGCAGAAAACTGCAAGTGATAGACAGTAATGCTCCAAATATCTTCACCTTTCACTTCTCTGGTAGCTCAGTATTGATTTCACTTTGAAAGTGCATTGCAAGTAAAGAATGTGGAAATGGAGTGTTTAGAATTCAATCGGTCCAAGTGTCTTGCATGCTCGTACCAAGCTTCTGTCCTATGCACCAAATGTTGAAACACTTGCCATATCCTCGCCTAATGAGGTATATTCTGAAAGTTTCGATGAGTATAGACTAGCTGTTTGCATATAACAGTTGCCGTGCCTAGTCATATAACTAATCTTAGGTGCCTTAATGCTGATGGTCAGCACGCCAATGCTACCTAGCAAATTCCGCCGCCTCAAGTACTTGCATATTTCTCTAATTGGAGATGAAGCTATTTCACCAGATTATGATTACCTTTCTGTGGTTTCATTTCTTCAAGCTTCTCCTTGCCTGGAGACTTTCATCTTTGAAGTAAGTTACGTTTCATCTTGCAATCATATACCTAGTGTCAATTGTGGAATCACTGATGCAAAGCATCTTGGATTTCTATGTAGTTACGGCAACCTGACATGAAGCATGATTCAGTTATCGGGGATTCCTCGTGTCTGAAGCGGTTACCGCAACACCACCACAACAGCCTAAGGAGCATGACGATCGTCGCTCGTCGGCTTCTGTTCCGCGAAGAGCTTGGTTGAGCTAACATGCCACATTGTGGAGAACGCGTCATCGCTGGAGCGCCTAACTTTGGACACCACTCATGTCTATCACAGTTCTGGAGGGTGTAGCGTCAATAAATATCAGAGAGTGTACTATATAGGGAGTGGTATCCGCACTTGGGCCCCACCTGGCAGATGCCTCCCTATGGGGAGGGATATCCTCATGGAGGCTCCCAGGGCACTTTTGGCTATCAGAACACACGCCGAGGGGAAGGTTCCCTCAAGAGTCGTGCTAAAAGTCATGGAGCCTTGCAGTCGGTGCCATGCTGTTGAACACTTATATGCCTAATTAGCAACGTGCAATGTTGAATCATGCCAAAGTGAATTGTTTATGAATTATGATGCGTTATTTCCAAATTATCAGAATGGGCCAACTATAGTTGTCTGAAATTTGATAACCGTACTTTGTTTCTTAAAATTTATCACAACACAAGTGCCGAATGTTTTATGATGTGAACTTGTGCTAATGTTTCATGTAGACAGATAAAGTGGGGAAAATGAGCAGGTGTTGGCTGTTACGCAAGATTTTGTTCATTTGTTCATTTGACGTTGGAAAATGATCAGGAAATGAACGATATTAGAAGAGGTCAGCGTGTTTTACTGATGGATATTCTACCAATTGTTCTCGTATAATTGTGCTTGAAATGATGCGATGCATTTCTTAGCTGCTTATGGAAAAGATTAGATCGATATAGAAGGCGCGGTAAGTTGAAGCATCCTACTGGTTTGTGAATTGTGAACACTTTCGCCTCCACAGCTGTAGTGACTCCCGGCAAAACTCATCATCATCTTGAAGTAACCAAAGTTGTTGAACTGAGTTCTCAGAAGCCCACGTTGTGCAAAGCCTGCAAGGTAAGCAGCACAAGAACCGCTGAGCTTTGTTCACATCGATCTCCCAATTACAGCAAAGGATTTCAAGCAAACTAATGCAGTAGAAACAGATCAAAGACATGTTGGCATGCCCAACCATTAACTGATGTAAAAACAGAAACTAATTGGTTCCATTCCTTTTTGTTTTATGACTTAGAGAATCCCAACATGCAAGTAACGCAACCTTGCAGAGGTTTAAACAGCATTATCCCTGAGAATGGAAACAAAATTCCACGAACAAAGTTCATTAACTAAACCCTGATGATGCAGCTTAAGGCTAAGGAGAATGTATATCTCCTCTGCAAACAGCACTGCCCTACTTGTCTTGGTTCTCCTCCGACGCTTCCTGCTCGTATCGACGTTTGAACTTGGCAATCTGCCCCAGGCTCTGGGCCATCTGCCGCTTCGCCCTCATGTGGTACACTTTGCCGGTGTGGTTCACCTTGGTCATCATGATGTTGATCAGCCTGCCGCTCTGCGTCACGTAGGAGATCCACTGCATCTGAGGATGAAGCCCCTTCCTCATCCTTCCAACCTGGAACCATACGCAGGGTCATCAGACAAAAGGGATGAAATAGTAATACATATCTATTATTGGGTTTCCAGATGTTAACCATGAAAGAAACATCCATTTCCTCAACAGACGCGCGTAAGTTACAAAATCATGATCAGCATTCACCTCTCAAAAATATTACTTACAAAATCATGATCAGCATTCACCATGATTAACGTAGGACCTATTCCAAGTTTGCAATATAGCAGGAGTAACACATCCAAAGAAAGGGTTCGGTCATATGATTGCTGAGAGATTATAAATGGTACTGGTACTTCAAAATTCTCGACTCGCTGTGGTCATGTTTGGCCACCAGAACACTTGGTTGCAAAAGAAGTTAGCATGGTATGAGGACGGGCATAGAAATATGACTTGAGCAGCTACATGGGCGATTCTACTGGACAGGCGCTGTGCTCTAGTTTCCGGCTGCTGCTGCTGCTGCTGATCTGATTATTTCAAGGTGGTTAAGAACTGAACAGTGCATATTTTGATTTAGGCCATTCGGCTACTTTCGTTTACAGATAGTCTGCACCTGCATACTTATTGTTCTAGCCGAGCCTAGTTATAGTAGAAACATGGAAATAAGCACATGTGACACAGCAGCTTAAATCAGCATCTTCCTCTTGCTGTCCATCTACAACAGAAAATTGAAACGAAAAAAAAATAACTTCTAAGATGGCATGCACAAAACTGGACTAATTTGTCCTCCGAACTGCAGCTAACCAATCAGAAGGAAGCACGCCATACAAGGCATAAACACGAGCCATCGCATACACACAAATCACACACGAGCAGATCAGCATGCACACAATCAGCGAATCTACTGCCCAAGCAGATCGAACAGCTAGGGTTACAGTACCTGGGGAGGAATCACCAACGGAGAAGAGAGGGGTGCTGCTGGTCGCCGGCCTGCCGCTCGTCCCTGTCCTCCTTCGCGCTGCAGCTCGGAGAGGAAAAAACAGATCAGGGTGGAGAGAGGGGGAGGGGAACCAGAGCAGGGAGAGAGGGCATCCAACGCCGCCGCCGTCAGCCACCCATGGGGACGCCCGAGAGAGAGGGGGCAGAGCAGCCCTAAGGGGAAGGGGGCGAGGGGGAGGAGAGGGGCAGCACCTCGACGCGCGCCGCCGGCCGCCGCCGCCGCTCTTCTGTTGGTGGCTCGTGAGAGAGAGAGGGAGAGAGAGAGAGCGCCGGAGAGGGTTCTGTCAGTGAGGGCCCACCTGTTAGTGAGAGGGGAGGCGGGGTGGGTGAGATAATAATAAAGCGAATAAAAAAACGATTCGATAATAACATAGCTCCATCCCTCTCGTTCATTCCCCTCTGACGGTCATCGCGCTCCACTACGCCGGCCGAGCACCCGCCCCCGGGTCCAGGCCTCCTTCCACCGAGGAACGCCACCTCCAAGGAATTCTCCTCTCAATCCACGGTCGCCGCCGTCCTCCTCCTCCTCATCCACAGCTTCTCCGCTCCGCTGGACTGCCGATCCGTCCGGACGGGGACTGGTGACGAACCCTAACTTGCTTGTGCTGCCCGGATAGTTTCGATCTCGTCTTTTCTTTTCTTTCCTTGCTGTGATGTGTGAGAAATTCAATCCGTCGAGTTTCCTGAGGATTCTGTCGCTGCTTGGTGAGCTGATGATAGCTGTGAGTTCCTTTTCCGGAAGAAAAGAAAAGAGAGAGGAAATTTTGGGGTTCCAGTCCAGCCGAACCCCATGGCACTCTTTGGGTGTGCGGTCGGAGGACGGCGCCGGTCGTGCTCGGTGCTTTTCTTGGGAACACTTCTACTTATGGAAAGATGCAAAAATTCGTGTGACTGTTGCTTAGTTTACTGTGTTAATTCTTCGAAATTTATGATCAAGTACTACTTTGAGTATGAATATATGTCACATATCAGCCAGTACAGTACCAATTTCAAGCAAATGGTCGTAAATTGCTAACCAATGCTAATACAATCTTTTGTTTCTTGTGTGTCTGTGACTGTGAACAGGTCACAGCCGGAAACTGTAAAAGTTAATTGTGGCTTGTTAGGATTCTGGGAGGCGGCAACATGCCCTACTTCCCAGATGAAGTGGTGGAGCACATCCTTGGCTTCGTATCGTCGTACCGTGACCGCGACGCTGCATCTCTCGTGTGCCACGCGTGGTACCGCATCGAGGGCCTCACTCGCCGCTCCGTGTTCATTTCCAACTGCTATGCGGTGCGCCCGGAGCGTGTGCACGCCCGTTTCCCCTGCCTGCGCTCGCTGACCGTGAAGGGCAAGCCACGCTTTGCTGACTTCAACCTTGTCCCTGCGGGGTGGGGTGCCTCAGCGGAGCCATGGGTGGATGCGTGTGCCCGTGCATGCCCTGGCCTTGAAGAGCTCCGCCTGAAGCGGATGGTTGTCACTGATGGTTGCCTCAATCACCTTGCTCACTCATTTCCCAATTTGAGATCACTAGTCCTTGTTAGCTGTGAGGGGTTCAGCACTGATGGCCTTGCTACTATTGCCACCAACTGCAGGTCAGAATGCTACAAGCTTGGGAGTCTTTTACTTTTCATGTTATGATAATAGTACTGAATGTGGATGTCTCCCATTGGACGTTGAATGTAAAATGGGTTATCACCACATCGCCTCATAAACTGCAATTCGTATTCAACCTTCATGCCATACCCAGTTTATCTTGATGCTCTACAATATTGTACCAGATTATGGAAGCTTGTTTATCCTTGTACAATTGTTTGAATCTTGAATACCAGAATTTATGTTATGTTTGTTTTAGAATGGAAACCGAGAACTATCAATGGCATTTAAATAATCCTACAGAAAAACCTTGTTGAGTCCTTGGCAGTTGGCATTGCTCTATTTCCATTTCCATGAGTTATGATAAACAGTAATAATTGAGATTGCGGATGCATTTCAGTTTATTAAAGAAAGGTCTTATTTTAAGGGATGTTTCTTCAAACCAGTTTGTGAGATTGTGAATGCATTGCATACTGGGTCAATCCATGGTTCCAGTGTTATATAATCTTCATGACTGCATGTATACATTTCAAGATCTGATCAATATAAAAAAGTTTGGTATGCTGCACTTATATAAGTGGAATCTTGAGAGCTCTTTCACCAGTAACTTTAAAAGACATATGTGGACTGTCGGTGATTTACATATAGCAATGTGGCATTACCATAACATCGGAAAAAGAGGGAGGCACTAATGTAGTAATGTTGGTTATGTCATATCATTCCAATTTAAAGGAGGATTAGAAATTTAGAATACTCGAGGGTTCTTTCACCAGTAATTTATTGCTAATTTGAAATATGCCTCTAGAGTCTCTCGACCCTCCCATCAATATAATCTAAGCATGGATTTCGAGTTGCGCGACTAGTCGTCGACTAGTCGATGAGTTGCAAAAAAAATATCGACTCAACTTAGTGTCGACTCGAGTCGTGAGTCGCGACTAGTCGCAACTGCAGGCTTGACTTTTTCCGAGTCACTACCATAGAGCGACTCGGAAGAGTCGCGGCTCGAAAACCATGAATCCAAACGCTTGCCTTTTTAAAAAAAAGAGAACTGTCAGAAACCCTTACAGTATATGTAGGAATATAAAATCATATCCATGAGGACTTGAACCTAGGTGGTGGGTTGTACGTCCACTCCCATAGCCTCTTGAAGGGCTCACATTTGAAGTGCTACCAACTCTTAATTAGGTGAATAATGGTAATTATTCACTATTCTTACCCATAATCATCGTACGTATTTTTTACTCTTCAGTTTTGAATCTCACCACAAACTTGTTACTGTATTTGCATAATTTCGTAGCTCTGCGGGTGGATTCACGTCCCCACGGATAGGTATTTACGTAAGGCTAGGGAATTTCAGCAATATAAATTCCAAATCCTTGTTACCAATGTACGCAACAGGGTAAACACTAACGAAGGATAGCTTGTACTGGCAGTGTTGGCTTGGTAAGGGTAAAGTCAGATCCTAGGTGCGGGCGATGAACTTTGTAGGAGATAACAAATTGGTTCTTCATTTTAAGTTGTTGTGTCATACGGCATGCCTTATATTGGTGAGCCTGCCCTCTTAAACAATGGAACTCCTTAGTCTCACACAACGAAACCTGGAGATCGCAACTTGAAAGATAAGAAAAAGTGGTTAAAGGGTTCCCTCTCTAAACTGTGCGTTGTTGAGGTAAAAGTGAGGCACCTACGGAGGCTGCGCCTCAAATGCGGGTGGGGAGCTCACAGGCGTGTGCTCTAGCCAACCAAACACCGCTCGGTTCTCGTGACTTGGAAGGTTAAGATAGTGGAAAATATCTTCTCATTAATCTTAGGTGTACATGGTTGTTACTTGCATTGTGCAGCCCACTTAATGTAGGCCCAAGGCCCCACGTTCTGATCTCCACCCATGACATTTGTAAAGCCTGTATGTACGTAAGGCACTCAAAAGTTGTTTCATATTTATTATTAACAATTACAGCTATTATTACATTCCCAGTCATATTTACATATTTTCTCATGTCTATTCATAAAGCATCATTTCCATGTGACTCCAGATTGAATTATTATAATTTATGTGACACATATTTGGTGATACCATCTTTAAGGCAATTCAATAGTTTGCGCACTGTCCGTTTGTTTTCTGTAGAACTGGTAGGTTGTTTGCATCAGGAGTCACCAACAATGATGTCATTCGTAAACCAGATTATGTTGATAACAATTAGAATGTTAATACCTGGCAAATTTTGTGTATCTTAGAAGTTATTGTATATACACATGTTCTGTTCTATGAAGATTAATTCATCTCGGCCTCTTTTCAGTTTGTTAAGTGTTGCTTCAGAAAAGTTCTTTCGGTGATTGCAAGTCATATTACTTAATTTGTAACTCTTCATTGCAGGTTTCTCAAGGAGCTTGACTTACAAGGGAGTCAGGTGGAGTTTCGAGGCCGTCATTGGTTGAGTTGTTTCCCCAAGCCTTCGACATCATTAGAATCCTTGAATTTTGCTTGCTTGGATGGAGCAGTGAGTGCTAATGCATTGGAAAGTCTTGTTGCAAGGAGTCCAAATCTTAAAAGCTTAAGGTTAAATCGTGCAGTTCCACCAGCTGTTTTAGCCAAAATTCTTACTTCCGCTCCTAAGCTGGTGGATTTAGGTACAGGATTGGTTGCTCAAAGCAATAATGCTGGTGCACTCCCCAGTCTCTACAGTGCTATTCAGCAATGCACTTCTCTGAATAGTTTATCAGGCTTTTGGGATTCTCCACGTTGGATTACTCCAATAATACATTATATTTGCAAGAATCTAACATGCTTGAACCTTAGCTATGCTCCAATGTTTCGGACAGTTGATCTTATTGGAACTATTCACCAATGTCAGAATCTCCGACACTTGTGGGTAAGGTTTAGTAGCACTGGTGTTATGGAAATTTAGCCTGTTTCTTATTATGTTAAATTACTTCATGCAGTTACTAGATCTTTACTTTGTTGGATGTTGTTTCACTTCAAGCCTATGAAATGAGATGTTTATGTATTTGGAAGTTCTGCTTTTGTCAACCCTGCTGTAGTGCAATTAGCAAGTAATGAAAATGTTGCCCAATATGCTGTTTTAAGTGGTACTTACTAGGCAAGAATTTTGTATATTTAACATACAAAATGCATTTAGTTCAACTTCTTATGCATTACTCTTTAACAGAGGCTGCATAAGAAGTTAAGAACACATGTTTATCTATTGACTTGTTTAACAATCTAGTTTGTACCAGTATAGACATTTGAAAATACCAGACCACGTGAATGTGGCAAGATATGATAATCTTAAAAATGTCAGCGAACTTTGGGAGTAGTCCCTTTTTACCTCTCTTGGCATCTTCAGTAATGCTACAATATACTTTATAGTATGCATTTCTAGCCTTGTTGTGCACAAGGAAAAGTTGTAGGCATGAAAATTCTGTCAACGTGGTACTGTATTTTGAGAATGACTAAGACAAAATGATGATTTAGTAATAACTGATATGGGGTTCATTGATGTTAGGGAAACATTGTCTAATAGCTATTGTACTTAATTGTCAGTGTTACTTAATGCGCTCACCCACACAAACCACACACAAAGAGGTGACATACTTTTGGGTGTTTTAACTAGTATTGGAAGGTTACTTCAATAGTTATAGTGGAACACTTCTGATTAAAGGATTCTTAGAGTAAACCTTTGTTGTTCATATGTTTCTTTCATTTGCGTTTCGTTCTTGCTGGTTGTTTCAGGTTATAAAATGTTTTATTCACTTCGGCTTAATGGTTGTAGGTACTAGATCACATTGGCGATGCAGGATTGAAGGTTGTAGCCTCTTCTTGCCTGGAGCTGCAAGAGTTGAGGATATTTCCTGCGAATGCAAATGTGTTAGCAAGCACTGGTGTGACAGAGGAAGGGCTGGTTGCAGTATCTTCAGGCTGTCGGAAGCTAAACTCTGTGCTCTATTCCTGCAGTCGAATGACTAATTCTGCTCTGATTACAGTGGCAAAGAACTGCTCGCGAATCACTTCGTTCAGACTGCATATCTGCCTGCATGGGTCAGTAGATGCCGTGACAGGCCAGCCACTGGACGAGGGTTTTGGGGCAATCGTCCGGTCATGCAAGGGCCTCAGGCGTCTATCTATGTCTGGCCTTCTCACGGACAGCGTGTTCCTGTACATCGGCATGTACGCCGAGAGGCTGGAGACGCTCTCTGTCGCGTTTGCAGGAGATAGTGATGATGGCATGATCTATGTGCTCAACGGCTGCAAGAATCTCAGGAAGCTGGAGATCAGGAACTGCCCATTTGGCAACAGCGCGCTTCTTGCAGGCACGCACAGGTACGAGGCGATGCGCTCGCTTTGGATGTCGTCGTGCGACATCACCCTGGGTGGCTGCAGGTCCCTCGCGGCAGCCATGCCAGGCCTCAACGTCGAGGTCATCAGCCAGGCGGATGGAGGCGCCAACGATGCAAAGGTGGAGAAGCTGTATGTCTACAGGACACTCGCCGGCCCGAGAGATGATGCCCCTGGATTCGTCTCGGCACTGTAAATTACATATACTGTCGTGGTTAGTGGGTTTCTATTTGGCTTGTAATTTTGTACCGTGCCTGAACCGTGGAAAAATCTGCACGTGCTAAGACTATAATTTCGATCATCCTGCTATTTCACTTACCATGTCGATGGAAGCAGTGTATGCTACATTTGTTGGTGATCAGATTCTGTTCACAGATGCATTTGATACAGAATGCAATGGGTAATTAAAATGTGACATTGTCTGTAAAAGTTCTTATATACTACTAGTACAGTATGGCTTTAAGAATCACCCACGGCGCTCAGAAAGGCAGTAATGAGTGAAGCTTTGACATGAACTTGTTGACATTTGGGAAGTTTAAAAGAAAAAAACTTGTTGGCATTTGGATGTGTTTACAGTTAGTTTTGACTTTTGAATAACTTTGGATGTGAAGGTTTGGTCTATCCTGTCAAGATATGAGCATGGTAGAATGCAAAAGCCTATATGGTTCGTCCTATGGGAAATATATTTTTGACACCAACATTGATTGAACTGCAATGATATAACTGAATTGTACGTGGGTCTTGACATTGCATTGGATCACGGCAAATGTGCCAAAAGAATGTCTACTAAATCACATACAAATGTATGAATTTTGTACATGTAAACCATGCCACAAAATGTAGGGGTCACGTGGCAATTGTAGAATAGAAACAAAGAAGAGAAGAAAAAACAAGAAAAGGTATGCTAAAAAAAACAAGAGAGTAATGATGAAGAGAACTTGTTCATCTTCTCAGTGTCAAACCAAAGAACTTGTTCATCTTCTCGATCAGCGTCGACGGTAAACCTGTCAAGGTTGATGCGTCGATACCTGCTATGAAGAAGGATCGATGGAAGACGGCGGTGGTGGCCTCTCAGAGTGGGTTGGACCGGTGTGTGTCCAGACCCAACAAGAGGCTTGGCTGGGGCCTCCGGCTTTAGATGTTAGGTTTTGGTACAAGGTCTCTTTGAGATCATGTTCTACGTTCAGCTACTTCGGTTTGGATTGCATTGTATGGGAGAGACCACTTTGAGTTCAGGGGGAAGCTTGGGGCTCTTCCACAATAGGCATAATGTGCCTCATCTGAGACATGACTTATGTTTTGTCCGTTATGCAAATTCACAATGGTGATAGATATGACAGGAACATATTGATGACTGTCAAATAAACTAGGTTGTAGAACATGAGGGCAAATTCACACTAGTGATAGATATGTTCTCTAGAGCATCCCAACTAACTTGAATTAAGGAGCCGGTGTTGCTCCAGGAGGTGCAGGTTATACCGTTGCTCCTCTTGCAGCATCCGGAACACTAAGATCGAGGTCATGGACTGCTCCCCGGATGCTCCTCCTGTGCGATAATGGGCTCGAAGTGCACCTGCGTTTGCGCCATAGTGAAGCCGGCAACTGATGTGGTGTCGACATCGAACAACTCCTTCATCATCCGGTCGTCGTCCTCCGAGCTCTCCTCCGGCGAGCTCGGAGGCAGGCTGGCCTCTATATATACCTTGGGAACGTCGGGCCTGCCAGCCGTTTGCAATGGATGCCATCTAGTGCTTCTATGCCGGCGAGAGCCGCTTCTAAATCGCGTTGTCACTTGTCGTTATTGCGCGCCAGAGTGAGTTTTGACCATCGCACATGTTCAATGCCGAGCAGACGAATGGAAAGACGGCCGGCTTCAATGCAGTAGGAAGCCGTCCCGTCGCCCAGTCTGGTCGTGCTACTCTGAGCCGGCATTGCACACAACGCAGATAGCAAGCGAGCGGACACGATGTGGGCGACACTCTCAGGCGTGTCCCTTGAATGCCCGACATGCTGCAGAGTGGTCGCGTCCGCTCTGGAGCGGCATGAATGCGGTGCCTCTTCCTAGAAAGACGGTTAGAGCACACCGGTTATTGTTTTGGAAAGATTTTTGAGTGGGACGAGTACGGGGCGGAGGTCCGGACGCCCAGGTTTAATGCCCGGTTTGTGGTTTACACTTTCCGTGAAATGTGGCGTGAAGCAAATCCTTTGTTTGTTTAGATGTGCATTTGATACAGAATGCAATGGCCAATTAATTAACAAGTTCTTATATAGTACAATTTTCTTCGTCCGGAAATACTCGTCGGAGAAATGGATAAAAATGGATGTATTTTGAACTAAAATACCTCTATATACATATATTTCTCCGACAAATATTTCCGGGCAGAGGGAGTAGTATAGTACGTATGACTTTAAGAAAAAGACTTGTTGGACATATGGATGTGTTTACAGTTAGTTTTGAGTTTAACTCATTTGACCATTGTAGAATGCAAGCCTATTCCATTCGTCCTATCCTATGGGGAAATACAGTATGTTTTTGACAGCAACCTTTGGTTGGACTGCAAGGCTATATCTAAATTGAAATGCGCTACTAAATCACATACAAACGTATGAATTTCGTTTTGTATATGTAAACCATGCCAAAAAATACAGGGGTCACGTGGCAATTGTAGAACAGAAACAAAGAAGAAAAAAGAACAAGAACTTCTTCATCCTTTCGATCAGTGTCAATCAAAAGAATTTGTTCATCTATATCTGGAGTTTAATTTGGACACTATATGACGAACAAACAGATATTTGTTTACATTTCCGACTCGAAAGTTTCTCTACGCAATTTCAGACCACGACCCGAACGAATGCCAAAGAATCTCAAGAATCAACAGCCCACGGGGGCGAAGCCGAAGTTGGTTCAGACTCCGTGCGAAGTTACCGAACCGGAGGCGCATCAGTGAGCGGGCTCGCTCATGTCGACGGCGCGCTCGAGCTCCTCCCTGACGGCCTCGCAGTCGTCCTCGATGCGCTGGCGCAAGGGGTCGAGGGCGAGGCCCCGGGCGTCGAGGGCGAGGAGCCGGGCGTCGGCGTCGTCGGCGATGAGGCGGAGGCGGTCCGCGTCGTCGGCGAGGAGGAGGAGGCGGTCGGCGAGGACGAGGCTGCGGTAGCCTGGAGCCCCGCCGCCGACGCGGGAGGAGAGAGCGCGCACGCGCTGGGCGCGCTGGCGCACGCGCTGGATGCGCGCCTGGTCGAAGGGCCGGTCGTAGAGCCTGGGGAGGTCTCGGCGGCGCAGGCTGGCGAGGGTGCCACTGATGCTGCCCAGGTTGAGGATGCGCCGGTAGCCCAGCACCTCCCACCGGCGCCTCTTCGGCAGGATCCGGCGACGAGCGCGGTAGAGCAGCCGTCCCAGGGCGGGGACCTCAGCGAGGGACTCCGCCCCGCTCACGGAGACGACGCGGCGGCGCCGGCCCGCGCTGAGCAGCTGGCGCGCGTGCCGGAGCGAGTGGATCTCCAGCGGCGGCATCGTGCCCACCCGCGCGCTGCTCTGGCTCTCGGTGCTCTCTCTCGTCTCTGGTCTGGCGGGGGCGAAGGACGCTCCGGCCAGCTGTCGTCGGTGGAGGGTGGATGCGACGGTTATTCCGGGTTGGGCGGGGTATATATAGGGTGAGGAGAAGGGGCGGGAGACGGCGCCGAAACCAAGAACCGTTGCGTTCTTGGTCTCGCGGGCCCCCAACCACCGCCGGCGGCCCTGTTTGCCCCGCCGGCTGGCCCTGCTACAAACCGGAAGCCCAATCAATGTGGCATGTCCGCTTCCGCAGCAGCCCGATCAATCGATCAATGTGAATGTAAGGATGATCCCCAGATTCTGGCTTCACTCCGACCCCTCTCAGTGCAGAGAATCACCTTCTTCCGGTTTTCTCTGCCCGCCCCGCCCCGGCGAGGCCGAGGTCCCTGCGCCTCGATTTGGTCGCCGGCGAGACCGAGCTCCTGCGCGCCATCTAGCTCCCTGCTCGATTTCGTCTTCGTGCCCATGGACGGCGAGGTCACCGTGCGGCCGCCATTCCGTGCTCTGCAGTGCTCCCATGCCTAAGGACGCCCGTATCCGCCGCTCCAGCTCGCTGCCGCTGTGCCGTCCGGCAATACTGCAGCGCACACTCTGTTCGTCTCCGCTCAGTTTCATGGCGCGCAGTGGCCGCCGGCAGAGCGAGGAAGGTGCTTGATCAAATGTGACAGATGAGGATTAACATGCTCACCAGTGGACTCTTCTACGGCAACCTAACGCTGCGGGTTTTACTTGCCATGTCAGCACTGATGAGAGCCGCCCCCCTCTCAGGATTTTGTGTCAAAAAGCCATCAACAAAGTGTTTTGCGTTCTCGGCAACAAGAAAAATATGGCGGATAGTACAAATCTTTTTTTGAGGGTGCGCAGCCGTACAATTAGCCAGCTCCCATGGGTAGCACCGACGGCGTCCAGCGGCGCTTCATTGCAACCTCGCCGGAGCTCCAGCGACCCCCGTGGTGCTTCACTGCAGCTCCAGCGACGCATGGCGGTGCTTCATTGCAACCTCGTCGGAGCTCCAATGACCCCCACGATGCTTCACTGCAGCTCCTGTGGTGTTTCATTGCACCTCGCCGGCGCTCCGTTGCAACTCCGTCGGAGCACCACGCAGCCCGGGGTGGCAACAAGGGTGTTGTTGAAAAAAACGGCAAGCCACCGTGTCGCTCTCTTGAAGCATGGACGGAGCGTCATCGACCCCATGTTGCAGCACCGCCACGACCCCCGGTTCCGGCCGGCTGCATACTCATCTGTAGCATCGACGCCCGCGGCCCTACCTCGCCGGCAGCTGCATCTCGCACAAGTGCGTGTCCGCTCTTGCAACGGATTTGAGGGGTTGTAGATGCTCTTAGTGTTTTATGGCTTTCCGCACTACTTGACGAAATTGTGGTGGCTTTTTGCAATTTATTTGTATTTGAATTTGAATGAGCCCATTGGTTCATGCTTTGCTAGCTCATGTTTGGGAAATTTCAGATCCCCCCCCCCAAGCAATTTCAGAGCCGTAGACCTCGTAATCTAGGGTTGGGCGTCGTCGCCTGCTGTTGTGGCCTAGCCACAACGCCGCCGTCTTCTCCTCTCTCCACGAGCATGTCTCCGCGAGATCTCCATTGACTCCTAATGAGTAGCTAGTGAAGGTAGACGTGATTATTTCG